GCATGGTCCGTGCGGAAGGAGGAATTTTCTGCCGTATAGATAATGATGATGGATAATGTTCTACATGCTCTATGACTATGGCGAGCAACTCTTTCCTGGTGACACAGTAATTCCTCTCCGGTTTAGACAGGCATTTGCTCCAGTACGCTACTACACGTTCTTGGCCGTCTATTTCTTGGACAAAACCGCACCGAACACTTTCATTGCTCGCGTTCGTGTCGAGAATAAATGGTCTGTCGAGCTGAGGATACGTGAGGATTGGAGCAGATGTTAAAGCTTCCTCTAAGTTGTTAAATGCATCCTCGCATTCTTTTGTCCACAAGAAGTTTTGCTTGCTCTCTGTTTCATGACTCCATGTGAAGGGGTCAGTTGCGATGGAAGAAAAGTCCTTCACGAATCTCCTATAGTAGGTGCAAAGCCCTAGGAAGCTTCTCAGCTGATGGACAAACATTTTCGGGACGTTTCCAGGATTTAACCGCTGATACCTTTTCAGGATCCGTGCACGTACCTTCTGCCAGAGATGACATGTCCCAGGTAAGTCACTTCCTTTCGGAACAATTTGCATTTAGCGGGACTCGACTTTCAGATTGGCTTCTTTCAGTTTTCTGAAGCACCTTTCTAAGATTTTCTAGATGTTCTTCAAAACTCTTTCCGACGATGATGATGTCGTCCAGGTATATCAGACAGGCTTCGTAGGAAAGGCCTTTCAAAACAGTCTCCATAAGGACGTTCGAATGTTGCCGGCGCATTACACAGTCCAAACGGCATCACCTTGAATTGCCAAAGTCCTTGTCCCGTAGTAAATGCCGTCTTTTCTCGGTCATCAGGATGGATTTCTACCTGCCAATACCCACTCTTTAAATCAAGTGTTGAGAACCACTTGCTTCCAGAAAGAGTGTCTAAATGTCATCAATTCTAGGAAGAGGGTAACTGTCTTTCTTCGTAACCTCATTCAACCGGCGATAGTCAACGCAAAATCTTGTTTGAGCCGTCTTTCTTCTGACCAGAACGATGGGAGATGCCCATGGACTCGCTGAAGGCTCGATGACATCGCCTTCTTCCATATCTTTTAACAGTGTTCGCACCTCTTCCTGTTTAGCAAACGGTAGACGTCTTGGATGTTGCTTGATCGGGGGATGATCGCCAGTATCTATTCTATGTTGTGTCAAACTAGTTCGACCCACGTCAGAAGACGAGCGGGAGAAAACAACTTGAAGATCTTTAATGACGCGATCGGCAGCATTTCTCTCTTTATCGTTTAATTGTGCATTCTGCAATAACTCCGATATAATGCTGTCTGAGGACATGGGTTGTGGGATGTTACTCTTTCTTTCAACGCTGGTTACTGGAGTACAGTTTGCAACCACTTCACCTTTCTTAATAACTCTCGACTTTTCAGTTACATTGGCGACTCTCACCGGGATGACTGTTTTGGATAGGTCGACGAGTGTTGAGGCTACTAGTACTCCTTTTGGGCTGTTACAGTTATTGGGATATTCTATGATGCCGTAGCGAAAATTTTTGTTTTCGGCTATGGATACAGGAAGTAAAATTTCTGTTCTTGCCGGTATTGTGATATTGTCTTGTGCTATGATTTTATGGACAGATTTAACTTCTTCATCATTAACTCCAAATAACGCTATGTCCTCAGATGCAGAATGCAATTCGTTATTTTTAAAATCCAAGGAAAAATTGTATTTCCTTAGAAAGTCCAATCCGAGTATGCAAGAATCAGTGATCTCTGCTACATATGCCGTGTGATGGTAAGCGGCACTTCCAAACGTGATGTTAACATTTACTTTTCCGTCGATGTCGATCTTCTCACCGGACACAGTCTGGAGGGTAACGCAGGGCGGCGTCCAGATAAGTTTGTTTCCTAGTTGTTGAGCCAAATCTTTTCGGATGATGGTAACGTTGGCTCCTGTATCTATGTCATATTGCAGGGAACTCCATTAATATGTCCTATTATGAAAAGTCCATTACTGCCGCCTCTCACTGCAGAAATCTGAAGCGCTTTAAACTGGGGCTTTTCATTATCTGGCAACCTCCGCCCCGCGAGATGGCCACTAATTAGTTTCCCTGCTGCTTGTTAGAAGTGGTCTTAACATCCGTACTCTGGGGTATTCTGCAGTTTCGTCGTATGTGTCCTTCAGCACCGCAGTTCCAGCACTTAACGGTCGGTTTCTTCTCACCAATATTCCGTCTCAAGGCGTTCAGTTGTCTAGTTAAATCGTATAGACGAGCGGTGACTTGATCCCCTTGGCTCCTGGACTTGAGCAGTTCTGACTGCGTGGCGGTCTCTACGAGTGGCTTGCTGGGCTGCCTCGAATTTCATGGCGTACACTAGAGCGCTTTTAAATCTTTTACATCCGCCATTCGTAGAGCTTTCTGTATTTCAGTATCCTGGATACCGTCGATAAAGTATTGCAAGGACAGGATTTCCCTTGTTTCTGTCGGGCATTATGAAAAGGCGAGATGGGACAGCCTTTAGACATCCATGGCGAGCTCCTGAAGTATTTCGGTAGGCTTCTGTAGACGAGATTTTAATTGGAGCCTGCTGTAGTCTTTTAAACACTTCTCCCCAATGCGCAGCTCGAAGGCGTCGGACAGAGCTTCGAAATCTAACCTTTTGTTTTCGGGAAGAGTCTGAAGGATATCCGCTGCGTCGGCTGTTAAAGAAGCGGGGAGATGACAGGCCTTAGCTTGGGAATCCCATCCATTCGCATCCGCCACGATAGAAAATTGTGTCTTATACACCTGCCAGGAGGTCTTCCCATCCTATGTGGATAGCTTCAGAGGTGGAACGAGCAGGCATCGGTAAGAATTTAAAATCATCACTCCTGCCCCCTGCAGACGCTACGAATTTCTTTAAAGTATCCATTTCTTTGGCAACTGCAGAAACTCTCTCATCAATTTGTGTTCGATATTTTTTAACGAAACAAACTCCTTCTATTTCTTCTTTGACTGAACCAACTCTGTAACTATTTGTTTGTTCCACGGCCGAAACTCTGTCTTCTATTTGCTCTTTCACAGAAGAACGTTTCTTCAATTTGTCCAACTTTAATTTCGACCGCGTCTATTCTGCCTTCCATAGCCTCAATTTATTTTCTATTACGCAGGTAATTTTTCTTTTCATTTCGTCCTGACCTGCTTTCATCTCATCTTTAAGCGTTTCATCTCTTCCTTAACGGATTCCTGCCCAATTTCATTACTTCCTTAACGGATTCCTGGCCCAATTTCATTTCCTCTTTAATTTCTTCTTAAAGATGTTTGGCCAGCTTCCATCTTTTTTGGAACGCAGCAAAAGCAGTAATGAGCGTCTCATTGTTCTTCCATCCCTCTTGTTATTGCATTCAAATCCCACTTCTGACACCAAAAATTGTTGCGTGCGTACGGGTTCGTTATGAAATGAATGCACAAGTCCGAGGAAAAATGAACAAAAATTTATTATTATCACAACAAAAATGCTTAAATTTTCTCAAATTATCATGCAGTATTACAATATCTCACAGTAGTTATCTTTTAACTACTCAAATGTCCAATAGAACGTAATTCAAAACAGCTAAAGAACGCTAATCCGCGAATTCGCTACAATCAACAAGAGCAGTTTTCTAAACAACAACAAACTAAGCAACTAATACGAACTGAGATGTTTTCCTCCTTTTATAAGATTTTAAAAATCACACGCTAGAAATTTCGAGTACTTTCTCGAAATCAAAAAGAGATATTTATTTATTTATTGCACGCGCTCTTGTATTTTCAATTTTCCGTCTTAGCTTTCTTTTAATATTCGTCACGCGCTGCACTGCGCGAGAAATAAAACCATTTAATTTATAATTGAACTAACATTAGCTTTTTAAATACCAAATTCGTAACACTATTATAGCAGTGTTTTGAAAACAATTGTATATGTTATTCTGCTTCAGATAAACCAACCAAATTTTGGAAACTTAATGTAATCTGGTATCTGTCTATTTCAAACTATCCCACTTCTGGAACTAGGCACAGAGTCTAACGCATGCATCATTTTTCCTCAGCTCCCTGGCAATTTTCACTGATAGTTCTTCATAGAAACTATGTCATTCGCCCTCAGTGTGATATATGAGAGCTAACCAGCGAGTGTTTTATTTGAATTTGAAAGATTCAAATAAATAAATCAGGTTTTTCGATTTCTTTAAAAGTCAAAGAAGATTTAAACTACTTTCGTTTCTATTTTGCTCCGGCCATTAATTCCCATCCCCCTTCACGTTTGCAACCCTTTTTCTTAAGAAGAAGAAAACTTTTTTTTTCTGATTGCCTTTGAAATTCATAGAGCAGAGATTCTTAATAAGGGGGGTTTTTTCCTCGGAGAATTTCATACTTTAAAGGGGGAGGGGAATATAGTCAGTTTTTATAGCTGTTAAGTATTTAGTTTTAGTTTGAAAATAAAAAAACTACTTTTATTAAAAATTTATTTATAAACATTTTCAATACTATTGCGTGCGTACGGGTTCGCTATGAAATGAATGCACAAGTCCGATGAAAAATTTATTATTATCACAACAAAAATGCTTAATTTTCTCAAATTATCATGCAGTATTACAATATCTCACAGTAGTTATCTTTTAACTACTCAATGTACAATAGAACTAATTCAAAACAGCTAAAGACGCTAATCCGCGAATTCGGTATAACAACAACAGCAGTTTTCTAACAACAAGAAACTAACAACTACGACAAACTGAGATTATTCCTCCTTTATAAGATTTTAAAATCACGCGCTAGAATTTTCCAGTACTTTCTCGAATCAAAATGAGATATGTATTTAACGCACGCGCTCTTGTATTTTCAATTTTCCGGCTTAGCTTTCTTTTAATATTCGTCACGCGCTGCACTGCGCGAGAAATAAAACCATTTAATTTATAATTGAACTAACATTAGCTTTTTAAATACCAAATTCGTAACAATACATTTGTTTCTTAATTTATAAAACAAGTTAAAAATGATCTAAATTTAAATAAATAGGCTTATGTATTTTTCGAGTTTTGAAAGAAAAGGAGGGGAATAATCACCTAGCAGTGGAGAAAATGGAGTATGGGACAGAAAAGTACTACAGCTTCTTTCAGAAATTTTACGGCAGTTTCTTCCTTTGCAACTAAATATCATATGGGCATGTTTAAAACTGAGTTCAAGACAAACAAATATAAGACGATTTATTTATAAAAACCATTGTAACTTTGAATGCAACAGAAAGAAGATATACGAAAATGGCGAGTTGCTTATTAATTCTGAAGAATTGTTATGCTCGGGTTTGCCAAAGTGAGACGCATTAAGAAAATTTGGAGACTTGTACAAAGGTAGATGAGCTAATTCGTAAGTACCAAACGCCTAAATACAACAACAATAATTTAATTTCACATAATTCAAAAAATAAGAATTCTCATCTCGTGTGGAAATTCCTCTCTAAGACTGTGAAGAAGCTTATGATCGCTGGGGGGGGGCTTGTTCAAACTCGGACTGACGTACTCAAACTGTATTAAAATGCTATGACAGCTAAGGTGTAGTTGAAGACATCAAAGAGATTTGAAAAAGTTAAATTTAAGCTTATGAAACATACAACACATAACAAAATTAGCAGAACTAATTCCTAGTTACAATTGTTAAATATAATAATAAGTTGCATGTTAATAAACATATATATAATATTTGTTAAATATAAGTAACTTTGCCGCCTAAGCAAGATAGTAGTTAGAGACGCTGATTGCAGTGCGTAAGGGCCCCAGCCCGGATCCCGGAAATGGCATGGATGTTTGTAAAGGTAATAGTGTCTGCACGAAATGGGGACGCACTAAATATGAGACGAGCCGAAAGCCCTCTCGAAAGATTGGTGGTGGGGAAAGAGGAATGGGAGACCCTTGGACCCTTTTCCTGGGGTGCTCTGCATCAAAACTAGGGACGGAACTGAGCAAAGTCGTACTGTCACCTGTATGGTGCTCAAGGCTCTTGCGAACGACAGGCGTAATCTTGCACTGCTTGTCATGATGATTTTCATGGGCTTGTTCTTATGTTATTGCCTGACAAGTGAGATAAGTCACAACAACAACATAAATAACCTTAAATTTATGTATAACTCTATATTATACTAAAATAGAAATATTCAGCATTCTGTTTTACTCATTATTCGACAGAATGTAATTCTTTAGACTGAGGGGAAGGGAGGGGGCAAAGGATAATCGAAGGATTAGATTTTCGGATATCTGGACTTCGGATAGTTGCAATTCTACAGTAGCTGCAAAAAATGCAGAAATAAACTTTACTTGACCATGTACAAAAGCTTACATGTAAAATGGTGAATTTTATTTTTTAGCATAAGCATTTCGATAAATACATTTCTAGATATTTTCTTAGAGAATTTTCTTAGATTTTTCATAGAGATTAATACTTTTGATGCCTATCAAGAAAAATCAAAATGTAACAGAATTAACTTTCTTTGTTTTTGCAAATGCAACATTTCTTTCTCATTTAATGGCGAAAATTGATGCCATTTAAGTTATTAACATTTCTTCTTTTCTTGTTGAAGAAATATGGCTTTCGTAATTGCGTCATGATTAATTACTTCTTTAAATTCATCATGCACATATTCATTTTCTGACTGAATGCTCATAAATCTAAAACTGTCGCAGTTTCGAAGTTTTGGAATTTTATCGCTTTTAACACTAATAAATCACTTCGTTTTATTAACTTTAATTTTTTAGCATTATATGAGGTGTTAAATGGTTCAGCTTTAATGAATTTGTATCTCCACGAGTTTTATTTCATTTTGCATTATTCAATGATCCATAATTCCATTCTAGATTAATTTTTAATACTTGAAAATTTATTTGAAATGATGTGGGAAGTTTACCTAATTTATTCAAGTTAATATCTAGAACCACAGCATGCATTACAGAGAACTAAGATATAAACACTCACTTTTATTTAAAAAAGTGTTATGTGGCTCAAAATTCATCTGATCACTATTCATGTAATTATTGTACGAACTGCTTAATACAAAAGTTGAAAAGCACTCAAATATCATAAAATTATTTGTTAACATTTTATTCCCCCAGCTGGGTAGAAACTCATACTGCCCAATAACCCTGATAATCTAAGAAAATATTCAGGATGTATCTTGAGTTTTACAACAATCTAGTCTTTTCGCTCTCATTTATAAACTTTCTATTACTAGTTGCATATGTAGATATTGAGCTGTTTCTGTATTAAAAAACTTTAGAAGGGTTAAAGCTATTAAGCAATTTCTTGAACGAATATATTTTAAATGAAGCCTTACGGATATTTTTTTCTACAGTTGTATAATGGAACCATGAACTCGAAACCTTCGGCAACATTTAAAGTTTTTCTTCAAAGCTAAAAGTTTCTAGTTGAGCTGTATAACGGTTCGTGTTTTCTTAACGAATACACGTACAGTTTTGAGTATAAAAGAAACTATGATTATTTTATTTTACTACTTTTGAATAGTTGCGTTATGGTATGGTTGACATCATAATGTACACATTAATCTCTTCACATCGTCCTGAAGAAGCAAGCCAAGTGGCCTAGTGTCGGCTTGTAACAAATATAGTTCTTATAAGGCATATGTGAAGCTTTCACTCCTATTCTTGTAAAATAGTGTTACAATTTTGTATATGTGTAAATGATTTAAGTGAAATATGTGTGAAATTGTAGCATCTCTTGTGTAATGTAACATGAAACGCTTGAAAAACGACGTTCTGCCAGAAAAATAAGGTTACGGCAAGTCTATTTAAACAGCTAGCGAGATGGCGCCAAGCTGGCGATGGTCTTGGCGCTAATTTTTCTCACTAAAATTTTCAAAACTTCGCCAAAAGTCGCTAAACTTGGCGACGTTTTCGTCTGGTCTTTTGTGTAACCGTAATTGGTTGTTTATCTTTTCAATCCTATTGTTAATAAACAGATTTAACATTAGTGCATTACTTTTGTTGGCTGCTCCAACGTGCAATGTTTTGCTTATTTTAGTACAAAATTAGCAAAATGGGTTAGTTAGTTTAGAGATATTTACATATATACATGAATGGAGTCTTGCCGCCTTTACATTTCGTCAGGTGCCTAGACCTGGTTAACACATAAGGTATATCTTACAAAGACGTACATTACTCTAGTGTCAAGTAATCAATCAACATTTGCTTTGTTTCAAGAATTCCATTTGCTTTGTTTCAAGAATTCCATTTGCTTTGTTTCAAGAATTCCATTTGCTTTGTTGGAGATGGTTTATAGCGTAAATGTAACTTTAAAAGGATTTACTGGGTAGATGGAAGGATGACACTTGCAGATAGACTTAGCCGTAGATTTTTATAATTTTATTATCAGATAACGTAATTCTTTAGACGCATAATCTGCTTCACACATCTTTATGAACGCAGTATGTGCCCCAGAATTTTTGGAAGCTTCACATCTTAAGACAATGGATGATAAAAAGAAATTAGTCACAACGTGTTAGCAGTACCCAAGTAAGCGAGGAAAGTGACTATGCATTTGGAAGAAGCATTAGAGAGTCAAAAGCTTTCGGTTCTTTAATAGAAATCTTGATTTATGATTAGCTAATAGATGTCTGTATTGCTGGATTTCGTAAGATAGTACGATGCGGATTAATTTTGAAATGATTAGATTATATTGATGAGTAGATTAAATTTAGATTGATATGTTATAAATAGTTACTATTTTTAGACAGAAAGGGGAAGTACCCAAATTAAAAGGAAGAATGAAGAAAGTATTATAAAATTAAAATTCGAAGCTTGCTTTCGTATTTTATATTTTAGGTATTAGTCGATAAATTTAAAGAAAAATTTTCTATCACACAAAAACGCTCACACACATATAACACTTAAAGTAAAAAGTACACAAGCCAAAACCTAGCGCTAACACAGCTGGGATTAATTTATTATTGATTAGAGAAATTATCTTCTCGGAAAAAATAGAATAAAAACTGTTGTGATAAAAAGTTATTGTAACATATATGAGAGTATCAGTAAACGTTAATTTTAGTAAAAACTTTTAAGCTACTAATAATTATTGTTGCTTCCGTAGATAAACGCTGACTTTGCAAGGGGTATTAGACTTTCTCGATAAAATTACCGACAATTATTTAAAGATATCTGATCGTGTTTCTTCTTCCTTGTCTATCTGAGAGAGAATTCAGTTTAATATAATTAATTTTTTAATTCAGTTTAACATAATTTGTAATATTTCAACTCAATTAATTGAAGTCAGTTTTATTTAATTTATTATAATTTATAAGACGATAAACATACTCCGACACGATGCGATTCCTAACAAAAAATACTGTAAAATATTGAATAAAGAACACAAATGCTGGATAAAATACCCGAATCTGCTATGAAAGAATACGCAAATAATTAAATATAAAAAATACCTGAAAAGGTAATCTAAATAACTTATTTACAAAATATTGTTATACAATAAAAGAAAAATAATTGAAAAATGTGTTAGAATATATATATATGTAAGATACAAGAAAATACGATAGCTGCTTTAAAAATAATTGACGACCTCAAATTAATGATTCTAGATTTGGTGCTCTCCCCCTAAATTCATCTGTTCTCCTAAATTCGAGATCCTTCCATAATAATATAACAACCTAAAACTAACCAATCATAGCTTACAGCACTTTCTGCATGTAATTAGTATAAATACCGCTCGCAAATAAACTACGTCATTCTTGTGCTAGCTACGCCACTGCTAAAATATCCCCGCTGCTTTGCTTCTCAAACGCCTACGCCCTTTCTTTATAAAACCAATGTACATAGCAATTTATCCTATTGCATTATGATTGAATTAATTAAATTAAACACTTTATTTTCACACGTGAAAATAAAGAATGGTGATTTGTCAACACTTAGTTGTGTCATCTCCAACTGTAAAAGCCTCAACCATCAGCCATGACGGTTATCGATGGAGATGGACGGATATCGACGGATAGCCATGACGGAGCTATGACGATATAGCTTTGTTAAAAGTTTCAGTGTCTTTTTCTACGCATTAAAAATATAACATATATATATATATATATATATATAAGGTGATTCAAAAGTATCTGGAAATATGGAAAAATTTAAAAACAGGTAGACGAGACCGAAACAGAGGATTTTGAAGTGTAATATTTGCTCGGAAATGACGAAGTTGTACACTGCGTTATTGCAGGATATGAGAAAGTGATCTTCATGTATAAATCATCATTCCTTGGGCGAGTTTTGTTCTGCATGGATACAGAACTCACTGATAATTGATTTATCTATAAGACCGTGGCTACAACTGAGGAACTTCTTAAAGAAGGTACG